ACTGGCAATATTGTTGCGATATGTTTCTGCTCGCGTCAACGTGTCGCGCAACGTGTCAAGCACCGAAAGAAACTGTGTCAGTTACAATCTTGAAAAACGACAAATTGGAGAGGATAGAACACATAAATGTGAGCTGAATAATACTACTCATGAAGAAAACAAAGCAGACCCGATCGAGCACTAAAGTTACATTGATCGAGGAGCAGAGGTAAGTGCCATTAATTAGATATTTTTTCTTAACTTCATGTTACTGACACTCAACAAGACAAAAGTAAGGGATTCAAAATTGTCTTTCTCTTCATTAACTTTTCCGGTTGGCTTTTGCCATCAATTCAGTTATTAGAATGATGCTGTAGTAGTTCTCAATTTTGTTGAGGTTATTGTCAAGAATAGCCATGTATGAGGTGCAATGATCAGGTTGCAGGAAATTGTATTATTTTTCACAGAATAGGATGTATGAGTGTCTTTATTACCAACTCCATACAGAGTGCAAATTGCATGCCCCCGTGGAAGTTATTATTACCACTACTATCATCATCGTCATCATTATCATCGGCATTATCTCTTTCATCGTTATTAAACAAATATTACAATTATTGTTATGTTCATTATTATCATTGTCTTTATTAATAATATTATCACTACCATTATTGCTTTATAATGTCAGAGTGCTTGTATTACCAATCCTTGCAAGCAAAACGCCAAATGTCAAAGCGGTTTTACTGACAAGGGTTACCGCTGTAGGTGTTCTGATGGATACAATGGTCAGACTTGCGATGGAGGTAACAATGTTTACATGAATAGGTAGACTCACAACTTTTAAAACCTGAAAGGCCATTGAAAAGCGCTGTTTTAACAAAAAACTATGAAATACACTCTGATGTATTTCCAGATATTGACGAATGTGTTGTAAAGGAGCACAGCTGCGGTGCTAATGCTGTGTGCAACAATACTAAGGGATAGTACAATTGTGAATGTAAAGTTGGATATTCTGGGGATGAAAGAACTTGCCAAGGTGAATGTGGCTATATTCTTATTCATAATACATCAGTTATTTGATTCTAAATGAATCCCCTGACCGAATGTGCCCCAACTAAAACTGGCGATTAAAGTGTAACTATACACGTATAAAGGATATATTACATATATTACAGCTTGAGAATCTAGGAAAACCTAGACTGTTTTAAAAGATTTCCATTCTGCTGTAATTTCCCTCAACTTAAGAAAGACCGTTTCCCTACTAGTTTTTACACTTCTGTATCTGTAGTCTCCTTTTAGCCAGAGAGGGTTTTGATAATTCTAAATCAAGATACAACAAAAAATATCAACCACGGTGGGAAACCTAAGGTGTTGTATTTTGCGATGTGACTTTAATTGTGGCTTACTAGTTCTTGATTCATTAAAACAATGCTTATGGTCCCTTCCAAACAGCTTTTTTTTTGTCGTTGCTTGTTGTCATAATGTTAAAAAAGTTTTGCACGGTCGGTAATATAAGTGTTAAACGTTATCTGTCATCGGTTTAACACCTTTGAGTTTCCAATGAGTTTATGCTGGCTAATATTTTCTTCTGTACTGACTGGACGTTTTGGAAAAATTATTTACTCAAAGTTCATGACTGTTCAAAAATGATTTTCTTCTTTTCCCAATCAGCAAAATTTTCATTATGATTTCAACTTGTGGATAAACAAGAAAGAATACAACCTTCCTAGAGGATCGAATGGGTTTGACCAAGAGGAGACCAGGTTACTGACCCACTGGAACACTGCGTTTCCAAAAATTTGTCTTGGTATGAATATCAACGAACTGCTCAGGTTCGTTTATGATCAACATGCAGGCCGACTCGCTGTACTCACTGAATGCTGATGGACGCTACCGCGCTACCTTATCGGGTCGTAACACGTGGAAGTCACTAACTGGCCCGCAAGCCTACTTGCAGCCTTACTGTAATAAAGAAGGGGTTCAATATTCCACCGGAGAATGATTGCTGGAAGGATAAAGTTTCCAAAGTTAAATTGGCTTTGTCGCCAACAACAAGGATAACTGCCGTGATGTTCATTCCTGGTCGGTTTTGGCACAGGAGTGCCACATATTTCCCTACACATGCATTATAATAATGGCTATCGACTGAACTGTTTTGTAAGCACTAACATATCTTCAAATATCTATATAGCAATATTCAAGGGACAACTAATATAAAACAGTATTTGGAACTCGAGCTAAGATTATCATGATAACATTCGCATACGTCAATGGAAATAATCAGAGACAAATCTAGTTATGGAGGGTATCACAACTATAACGAAACTATCTATGTGAACATGCTGAAGTTAGTAACAGTCTACAGAGCAAAACATGTTTAGAACCACCAGAAACAATGTACAAATCATTTAAAACGATGCTAGGTAATTAGAATATCACTGACAATTCTCTTTATGAGATCAACGAGAGTTTACCTAAGATAAAAAAAAGACAAACCTCGAACAGTACAGACTTAAGGTGGCTCAATAGAGTTTTTTGGCCGGGCGAAGAATGGGTACGAAAATAGCGCGCGCTTTTAAATGGCATCAAATATGTAAACAAACATGGCGGCTTCGCGCGAGTGCACAATTTTTGTCACATAATCGCGAAGTTTACTTGACGAGAGTGAAACGGCATCGATACTTTCCAGTAAATGAGCACAATATTGACAGTGAAAGACCAGAAGTTTACACAACGCCTACACAACATCCGTAATGCGTCGGGTCGCTTTCGGAAAGTGGAAGCGATCGAAACCAGAAAAGAAACAAAAATAAAAAGGTTACACGGAGGGTTCAAAACGTGGAAGGCCAAACGGAAGCTCCAGTATGATAACATATCCATGGAAAACGAACCCCCAGCAAAACGAATGACACGAGCACGTGAGGTCAGTACATTTTTCTTTATTCGGAAGTCTTAATTTTTGGTAAGATTTTCCTGTCAAGCTTGTCCTAATCATCGGCCTACCTGTTCTGTTGACTCCAACCCTGATTCCCATCAGCAGAATAAAGCTAAGAGGAAGGCGAACCTGCCACAAGGATCCAGACTGGTGGACTTAGAAACCCTTACAGATGGTCTGAAGGAATGTTTATTTTGTCATTACGGTAAATTCTCACTATTTTTAACTGCACTATAGCATATTTTACACCATTATCATATAAAACAACATAACAAATATTGTGGAGTCTTTTTTCCCTGTTAGTTTACAGTGTATTTTACAATATTTCTAGGCCCTTTGTCTCTTGGCAATGTTATTGAAGAACAGCACAGTGGCTTGGCAAGCACGTTTACTGTTATATGCAGCCAATGCAATGGGGGAAACACCATTAAAACATCAAAAGAGCACAGATCTGGTGCACGCGGTCCA